AAAGAGTGCAACATGAGAGGTAAATATGTTTTTCATTGGGAAAACGAAGAATAACTGGCTTTATTTCATTTGAAAATCATTACTGTAAGTAGATGTCTAAAACTGGGGACTGAAAAATACAGTGACTAACATCTGAATAAAGACTTTGGTCTGACTTCAGAAGCAGCACTGCATTAAAAAGTCAGATCAGCAGATGAATTGAGTAGTCTCTGAAGAAATTTTGAATTTTCTCTTTAGGCGTTCACACCTGACAAGTTTTTAAAAATCTGCTTTTCTGTTTTGCTTTCTCTGCTGTTGCTAGAGGTTTTCGAGAAGTAATATGCATGTAGCTTTGGGAAAAAAAAAAAAAAAAAAAAAAAAAGAAAGAGTGGCAGAACCAAAACCTAAACTGAGAATGTGGTAAACCGTCTCCAGCGAGACATTTCAAATGCTCCTGTACCCCTCTTCTTGCAGTAGTGCCATTTCTTCCAAAAGATCCATGACCTACTGAGCTGGAATGTCTGTTGACATCTGGTTGAGGTTACTGCAGCTGGTATTTGGGATTTGGGGTATTTTTTTCCAGTTTAATTGAAACAAGCTGAGGTTGTCTGCACATTCTATGAATTGTTTCCACGCTCTGACCATCTAGTGTCTCTGAAGGGTAATTCTAGGACTGCTGAATCTGAACTGGAAAAGAGGAAACACCTTGATTGTTCAAAGCAGCAGCCCTCCTGTGAGTCACACTGCTGGTGAAAGAGTGGCTGGAAGACAGACTTTGCCCCTTGTCTGTGAGATGCACAGAGACAGATGTTTTGCAAATATGATACTGCTGACTTTAGCAGAACTGTTGAGGTATAATACTTGGGTTTCTGATTTACATTTTTGCAATGCTAGAGGACTTACAGATACTTTTATTCACCAGGTAAAACAAAAAACTGGCCTTCTGAGAATAGCTGCTGGGAGCTGTGACAAACCGAGAGACCAGAGGATTACCACACAGCTTCTGCAGATTCTCGTCTAAGGCTGCTTCCAGCAAGTGTATGCTGAGGTGTGGGTTCAGCCACCCAGGCATGGAAGTGCTACGCCGGTCCTCAGTCTTTGCTGCAGAGGTGATGGAGGTTTTTGACAGATCTCCCACCGACAAGGAGCTTGTGTCCCAAGCCAAGGCTCTCTGCAGAGACTACATAAATTCGAGGCTAATTCGAGCAGGTGTCAGCTGGAGCAAACCCGAGTACAATGCCCCAGTGCCAGGGGGTAAGCTGGCCGAGGTGTCCACCATATTGCTGCGACTAGGTAAGTCCCTGCAGGTATGGGTGAGAACTGAAACTATAGGGAGCAATTCAGACCAGACCAGGGTTTCTGGAACTGAAGAGTGCCAAGAGGCTTTTCATGTCATGATATAGAGGTTTTTCTTCTCTGCTTTTGGCATTTAGATTTGGTTTTGGTGATCTTCCCTAAAGAGCTCCTTTACCTGCATTTCCTCTGTCCCTTGGAGCACTGGAGTACAGTGTTTCTGCAGAGCTACTTTTTTGTGAGGACTTGGAACAACTTAAAATCACAATGCAGTCCAAGAAAGCACAACAGCAAACTAATTTTACCTGCATAAAACTCCAGCTGTGTAACAGTTTTGACTGTAGTTCGAGTAGTCTTTCCTGCTTGGCATTTTAACAGGTCTTGCAGTGTTTTCTCCAGACACAGGTGACTTGGCTGCCGTGATGCAGCCCAAGCTGGCATCTAGTAGAGTACTGCTACCTCTAGACTCGGGCTTCATGAGTTGCTTGCCCAGCTGCAAGGACGTTTAATTTGGGGGTAGTTGCTTAGACCGTGTGCTTTGGAGATATTTATAAAGCCACTTTGCAATGACACTGTGTTGACAGTGTGTAAATCTTCATTTGCCTACTTATTAATTCAGCAATACATGAGTTTTCTTGCTTTTTGTTGGAGCGAGGAGGAGTTGGCTGATGTTGCCTAGCATACGCTGCCATTCAGTGCCCAAAGTAGCCAGCTCCCCCCATGGCCAGGTGACTGCTGGGGCTACAGGGAGAGCGATTTGAAGGTTATACCTGTAGGCTGCTGCATGGAGACATGCTCTGGAGCTGTGCTTGTACCAGGAGCACCCTCTAAATGCTGACAGGTGCCTGGCCTTTTGTTTTAGATTTTAGCCTCCTGCGTGCTCAAGTCTAGCCATTTGTCTTTTGGGATCCTGACACCCTCGTTCTTGGAAGTTGCTTCCAGCATCCCTCTTTTGCCTGGAAATTACCACTAGCATTTGCATCGGATTTAATTACACTGAAGTTTAAAGAAGTCTGGTGCAGTAACCTTTAGCTGGGCCTAACAAACTCAGGACCAGGCTGGTCTCCCCACTTTCTCCTCTTTCTTTCTACTTCTGTTTGATATTATCCCAAATTTCTTTTTAAGGCGTGGCTGTGTTTCTTTTAACTGACTTTAGTTTCATTAATTCTTTTTCACTTTTCTCTCCCATGCTTACTTCTCTTCTGTTTTTGTTTCCAGTGGTTGTTTGGTCTTTGGGTTTTTGGGTTTTTTTGTTTTGTGTTTTTTTTTCTTCTTCTTTCAATCTTACTGCCTTTTTGTCCTCCTTTTCTTCTCTGCCTGGATTGGGGGTTGAGGTTTGTGTGCTTTCGACCAGATCTTCTGTGGGTGGCCAGGAGCATGTTAAAGGCCAAGCAGGTGGCAGACTGGATCTGAAGGCGTCTCCTGGATGACTCTCCTGTAACTTATTTGTGTCCAGATGGAAAGATTGGCTGATAGTCCCAGGAACTTGGCGCTTTCTCTGAGCAAATCTGTCTGGAGAGAGCCATGTGGCACCCATGCAACAAGAAGAGTTAGCAGTCCTTCTTATTAGAATGAAGAGTTGTTTCCATCCTGTTTGTTCAGAAATGCTGCCTGCCACATGGCCTGTCCCTTTCTTTTCCAGTTTGAGGCTATAAACCAGTACAAGGCCGTATGGTATCCAGCCACCTGCCAGGAACCGTAGTCCTTAGCTGCTTACTAAGCAATGCAACAAGCCAGACCATTTTTTTTCTGCATGATAGTGCTGAGAAGCCTGTGGAGATGAGAAGTAGAAAAATTTCCTAGTCCGTCCTCTTGCATGTGCCAAGGCAGTAGAGTCTGATGAACTGGCTGGTGGGCTAGCAGAGGAGCTGGGCACAAGCAATGCACCTGCAAAGTCTTGGGGAGCGAGAACCTGTCAGCTCAGTGCGGCTTAGCAGCGAATTACTGCAATTAATGAGTCAGAGGAGGTAAAACCTAATGGTATGGCCAAATGAGACACCCCAGACCAACCTGCCATATGTGTCTGAGGTCTGGTTTATCTGAACTTGTGTCTTCTGTAGCCCAGACCCAGGTAAGTGCCCTCTCACCTCTACACTGAGCTTCCCTGTGTGGAAACTCACTGCTGCCCTACTTATTCCTCCATGATTACTGGAGGAAAGAGAAGCACAGAAATTGCTTTCAATGTTGTGAAGTTCACAGCTGGGCATCGGAATATGGACACCAAAGGCTGCCACCCATGTAATGTGCTGCTGGAGAGGTCCTAGGGCTGCTGGGGCAGGGAGTGTCCATGAGCCTGGGACTGCTTTCCTGTGCTTTTCTTCCCTGGCTGCTCTTGTCTGCCCTGTGCATTGCTGCAGGGCAGGGCCTGCTTTAGCAGCATGTATGCCTCCAACCAAAACGGGCCCTGAGCTCATCTGGGGCCCCCAGGCACTGCTTGTTAAAAGCTGTAGCAATGGCAGGCTACCAAGTGCTGATCCCAGCCTCCCATGCCTCCCTCTGGGCTAACCACAGGCAGGGCTATCCCCATTTCCTCCCATTTACGGGGAAGCCCGTGTGCTCCCTGTGAGGAGAAAACAGCTGTTGAGTAGTGCAAGTAATGTTTCCTCTTATCAGGGCTGGCCATATGTTTGCAGGGTTTCCTCTTGCTGTCAGATTGTGTGGGGCAATCCCATATGCACAAAGGGCCTGGAGAATCCCGGAGAGCTCGGTAGAACTGGGCTGTGCCTGTGCTGAGTGCCAGTGACCAGTTAGATGAGTTAAGGTTCGGTAGCTAATGACTCTGATTGGAGAGGCATCTTCCTTTTCAGTTCCCATCTGAGTAAAATTTTCAGAAGGATCAGTTGCTCTCTGTCTGGGGCAAGTCATCTGGGTCTTGCAGTGGGATGTAAAGCTGTCGTGACAGCTCTCCTCTCCCCTGGGTGCTCCAGAGCACTCTCCTGCAGGAGGAGGACACAGAGTGTTCTTCTAAAACCTAAACCAAACAGGACACTCCACGCACAGAGGGCCTTGGTCCCATGCAAGGTTTGCATTGTGTGGTGCTCCTACAGCAGCTGGGCAAGCCTCATTAAGTATCTGTGAACCCCTTTAGGGAGATAAATCCATTGGAACCTGGGCTTTATTCATCCTACTGCTCACAAATGGTTTGTTTTGCTACAGAGGAAAAGCTTTACTGCTGTTGCCCAAGCTCCATAGCTCAGATATGTGGGAGGAGGTTCTCTGCTTGTCCTTGGTATTTCCGTCTTGGTCTTCAAAATAGCCTAACACCTCCAACCATTTCCCAGCTGGGGAGAAAACAACCTGGAGGTGAAAGTGTGTGTCTGTGTGTGTGTGTCAGGAACCTTGTTGCTGAGGCACAGCCAGGCAAATGAACACCTCTTTAACCATTTGGAGGGGAGGAAGAACTCCGGATTGTCACTCAGTGCCTGTATGAGGGTAAAATAGCTGAGCTGATAGTCTCTTTGCTCAATTAATGTTGTGCAGCTCTGGGTGGATCCTTGGCTTTCATCACCCTCCAGCATTCCTGAGTTGCTCTCATCTTCAGGCTTTTTTGTACAAGTCTGATGGGGTGTTGAGAAAGGGCGTATCTCTCAAAAGCTTATGAGATGTACATGCCTTCTTTTCACTTCTGAAGAAAAATGAGGTGGCTTTGCTTATCTGAGCCCTGTCTCTTGTGTTGGAGGAAAGGCAGGCAGCCAGCCTGGGTTTATCATTTGTATTGTGGATTATTGCAGCCACACCACTAGTACAGGGCTACTGCCTGTCCCCACTCCCTTTAGAAGTCCCAGGCACAGGGGATATTAGGAAAGCGGGTGGCAGGGGGTTGCATTGAAATGACCCTAAGCACTCTGCTGGCTGTTTAAAATGAGGTGGAGCTGGGGTTAAGCCTCTTTGGCTGGAGGGATACGTGGGGTGGCCCCAGCTGTAATTCCTACACGGCGAGAGCAGGACTTGGTGTTCTGTGTGCTGACTCCTGACTGTTTGTTTCCAGGGGATGAGCTGGAATACATTCGCCCCACCGTCTACCGGAATATCGCCCGCCAGTTGAACATCTCGCTGCACTCAGAGACAGTGGTGACGGACGCCTTCCTGGCAGTAGCTGCGCAGATTTTCACTGCAGGTACTGTGCCCTGACAGATATGCAGACAGGGCTGGGTGGAAAGGAACAGGATGGAGCCACCTCTCTCAGAGAAGGCGTGTTTCTGGGATGGCCTGCAAGATGGGGCACGGTTTCTGAAAGGGCTGTGGGCAGTTTGGCAGTGTGCCCTGCTTTAATGATTTAATGAGAGCTCCTCTACGCTCTGTTGTTCTGGCAGGGAAATGCCCTGTTTTATTATATCCTCCTGGCAGGTTCTCACTCATTCTAGAAGGCATCTCCTGCCCTTCCTCTTTTGGAGATGGTGTTACCTTATTGCACAGGGAGGTCACTCATTCCAAGCTCCTTTGCTCACTGTTGGCAGCCAGAGAAGATTCATTACATGGGAGTCTCCCTTGTTCCAGCTCACACTGCTGATGCTAGGAGCCAGAACCAACTCATCACAAGGGAGTTCCTCTCTTTCTGGCTTCCTTTCCCGCAGTAATAGCCAGGACTGCAACAGAGCTTGCTGTTTCTATTGCTGCTTCTACTTTTTGTACTCAGAGAGACAGGAGCCTTGGCCCTCAAGGCTAGCAGTTCCAGACAAGAAACTTTCTCACTGCTTGGACGTGAATGTTCTGCTTCTGTTTGACCGGTCCCAGAGATGGTTGTCAAAAGCGAAGGTACACTCTGTGCTTTGTTCCTGCGGGGGGAACCTCTGCTTCCCTGGAAACAGTCCTTGCCTGCAATTGGGAGTGCAGTCTAGGGGAATCAAAGGAAGAGAAATATTTTACATGGAGATTTGTCACACAAGTCCTGACATGGTTGTAGGTTTTCTGCAGTGTCTTGTTGTTGTCCATGGAAGGGACGGGAGATGTTAAAGACTGGAAACAAAAAATTAAAATTAAAGAATAAAAAAAGGAAAAAAATAAAGCAAGCTACTTGCTTAGCAGCATAGTAGTGTGAAAACGCTGGATCTAGTGACATTGACAAGTGTCACAGGAGGCAGTGATTTTTGTTACTTTGAGAGTAGTTGGTACAGGATAGAAGTCCAGGTTTCTGTTGTGCTTTCAAATAGGCTTTCTCACTCAAAAGCTTTTTACCTTCACAGTCAGCTATGTTTCTTTATGCATATGACCTGCATGGGAACCCTGACACCCTAGAGAAGCCCCATGCTGACATCCTGGACTTCAGATCTGAAGTGTGTTGTGGTGGAGAACACAAGTCCTCTCCAGAACCACAACAGATAACAAGAGAGGTCTCCAAGAGGGGCTGTTCGGGCAGGGCTCCTGGCAGATGGAGCATGGCAGATTTACTCCCTGGATCAGGGGAACTGAAGTTTTGTCGTAGCAAATGGACGTAATTGGATTCTGTAGCTAGTACTGCAGCCCTCGAAATCCTTTCAGAGCATGCCTGGAATGCAGATTGCCTTGGGAGGCCATGTGGGCTCAGAAAGTAAGAGCTGGGCAAGTATGGCGGAAATGTATGAGTGTGGCTGTGTTCAGAGTGCAGGTGCCTTGCCTTGTCACTTAATGCTGAGCTTTATTTGTGTCAAGGCTTACAGAAAAATGAAGGTGAAGTTTGCAGGCTCAGGTATTTGCATTGCAGCTAAGTAGGTTATCTTCTTAGATGACTGTAGCTGACTACATCAGAACTGGCCCACCTCCAAAGCTGAAGTGACAGAGGGAATTAAGCCATAATTCTATGATTCTGTAAAGGTGGATGGCTGCGGGTGGAGCAGACTCTGCATGCTGCTACGCTGCATAAATGTGATGCTGGGGAGAAAGCCCTGCTGGCTTCTGGGAGTCCTGTTCTCACCAATGTATATCGACAGTTTCATTGAGAGCTGATTTTTTTGGTGTTCTTCACCTTCTCAGCTCAGGAGTCAAGTGAAAAGTATGGATGATTTAAAATGATTTTGTTGAAAGTAAAGCTAGGAATTGTAACTCTTGGTTCTAGGCTTGGGGTGTTCAAGGTAGTCAGAATGGGATCCAGACTCAGCCCTTTGAGGCTGGCAATGCTACAGACTTTGGGAATGTGATAGAAGCCCAGGCTTAAGCTCTGTTGCCAGTGCTGTCCCTCATTTGGGGACACCATGCTGCATAAATGGCTGGCAGTTGGATGGCTGCACAGGGGGTGGATTCAAACCTTCCTTCTGTATGCTCTGTTTTTGCTTCTCTCTCATCTCTGCCTTAGAGCAACTAACAGGATAACCTGTGAGCATGAAGCTGGAGTTGTGTATTGAATTGCTTTTTATCAATTCATTATTGTAACTTCTCTTGCTAGAAGGTTGCTGAGTGGCAGAGGGGGAGGAGTTTGCTGATTTTTAACATTCCTTGATCCTAACTGCAGTCTCAGGACTCAGCATTTAATGCTAAATCCAGCAAATCGGAGTTGGCTGTGGTAGCCAGACATCATTCCTATTTTTTTCATAGTTCAGAGGAAAGAGGCGCTTACTGAGCGAAGGAAACCAGAGACTCAAGTGCAGTCTGAGTTTTCATGCCAATTACCAATGGCTAAAGCATCTCAGCCTGTTTTTCACTGTCCAGGCTTCTTAAGAAAACAGCTACAGGCTGACACTGCAGTGCCTAGACAGTCTGGGGAGCCCCGTTAGTCACTCGCAACGCCTTTCCGCAAAGGAGTGGGGGATTCTGACCCTATCTTGCTGGAGAGATTTTTCTCCTTAATCTCTTACATGCCGTCTTCCACACCCTGGTCTGGTTTTGAGTCTTCACACTTTAGCGCTGTCTGTGCTCGCTTCCTGCCCACAGCGTCTACAAGTCTTGACTAAGCACAAGCCCTGATGGACCTCAAGAAGGCAAGACTGAGGACATCTGGCATCCTTGTTGGTCCCACTGCATGGGTACATTGTGCTATATTCGACTTTACAGCATGCTCTATTCCAGTTATCTCAGGTTTGGCTTTTCTCTGGTGTAGCAAGGACAGCTTGAATCCCAATTACAGCAAGATTAATGGCTGAGAATATAGGCAGAAAGTGAACAGGGCACAGAGCATAGTAAGGCTCAAGCTGTATTTTGCTTCCCTGTTTCCACAGATCCTGTTAGTTATTCAGGGTGAGGAAAGCCCTTCTGTGTGGAGACTGGCACCACAGAGCCCTGACTTGCTTTGGATGTTGAAGGATCTGCAAAAGCATCACCTCTGTGACAATACCACTGGCTCTGGTGTGTGGTCCAAAGCAGCTCTGCAGCCAGCAGGAGACTTTCCACTGACTTTAACAGGCTTTGGATTGGGGCCTGGCTGAGCTGGCATTTACATTAGCTGTTTAAATAAATCCCAGAAGGAAGGGGTCATTCGGTGGAAAAACAGAAGAAGAAAAGGGAGATGCATTTTCCTTTCCTAAAGGAAACAGTTTCCTCCAGTTGGTAAGAGCTGCTAGGTACGAGGGCTCTCTCAAAGCTTTCATCCTGGTTTTGTATGGATTTGGGTACTTGTCAGTTTTTAATCAAGAGCACTTGGGCTGAAGTGAGCCCTGTACAATGGGAATGCATGTTTAACGGGTTCTCGGGAGAAAATACTTTCCCCTGCAGGCGCAAATACCGTTAGAAGTGCATCCCACTGCTTCCTCATCACTTAGGCCTTACGAGTTGAGCTTCCTGCCTTGTGCATGTCCTTCTTGGCTTCTTTCTCTCCACCAGAGGAAAGAATATCATGTCTGGCTGTATTCTCCCAGCTATTGAAATGTGGCACTTGGTCACGTTGCTCTTGGGTCTGATTTGCAAGTTAGGCTTTGATGCTGAGTGTTGAGGAGGGCAGTTTATTTGAGTAATCTTGGGTAGTGCGGTGCTCTGAGACTCTGCACAGTTGTGTCTCATGGGTTCTTGAGCTCTCCCCTGGGGCAGGCAAGCTGATATGCAGTGGGAACACTTTCAAGAGCGGTCCTCTCCTGCTAATTCATTTTCCCCTGGGCCCGCCAGTGTTTACATACCTTCAGCTCTATGACTGGCCTTGAGTCTGCAACTTGTATTTCTTGTTTTTTAAAATGCCTTCTAAACAGCTTTTCACTTTTTCCATGTCCTTTTGTTCCATCTCTAAGCAGAAGTTTCAGAGCTTTCTCTGTTGTGATCAGTCCTTTCTGGACTACTTTTCCATTCCCTCTTGTCATTAGCTCCTGTGCATGCTAGTCTGCACAGTGGGAAGCTGTAAATAGATTGTCTCACTTGGTGGTGAGTGCCCAGTTCACCCAATGTGGATGGCAGCCAGCCGTTTTGAGGAATTTGTAGCAAGGCAATGTGTCTTCTCTGCTCATGTGCACTGGCCAGATGCAATTCCAGCGCATGCTGAGGGATGCGTCAAGCTAGTGTCACCCTGACCCTTGTCTGGACATCACAGGGGGCAGAGACACTGCCCTTCCAGTGGATTGTGCTCCTCTACTCCTGCCAAGGGAATCCTTGAGAGAGAAAACTTAATGGAGAAGGTGTCCTGGAAAAGTGCAGAATGGAGGCTGCTGTGGCCTGTTCCCCTGCCCTGCCCGGGGCTGGGTGGCTGCTGGAGCCCTCCTGGGGCAGAGGGACCAGCCACAGGCACAGCCCAGCTTTGGTCTAGAGCAGGTAGATGTCTGCTCTTCCCTTGCTTCAGGACTGCCCTACCACATCTTGTGTGATCAAGAGTGTAAGGTGCGCTCTGCTGTGTCGAGTGAGGAGCCCAGCCAGATTGAGATCTTCCACCTCCAGCAGCAGCAATAGGAGTTTCCGTGTGGAGAAAGCAGGATGGGATTTCCTCCTCTCTCACCCCTGTGGCCCAGCTCTGCCAGTAACAGGAAAAGCGGGCTGAAAGATTGGTTTGACCCTTATGGGCATGCTCTGTAAAGAGGAGGTTAATGGGAAGTGACCACTGAGCCCTTCACATCCATCAGCACAATAAGCATTGGCCAACAGTTCGTCCTCTTTCTGCTGTCCATGTGAAAGGAAGAGGGGCTCTGTATGCTGGGGAAGCGTTCACCTCATGCAAGTCCTGCAGCAAGCACTACTACGTAGCAAGTTGGCAGAGAAGCCAGAGCTGAAGGTCTTTCCATCCTCCCTGGGAGGAGACATCTGGACTGACATGGCTGTAGAGCAAACTGCTTTCCTGTGTTTTAGGGAAATTGTGGGTCTATTGAGCCTTTATCTTTCATAGGTTGTGGATACACTTTTCTTCTGCTGGGAAGAAAAACCTGGGTTTAAAACAAAGTTAATCAGGACTGCAGCTGTCTTTCTCTGCCAGATTGGCTTCAGCCCCTGGTCAGTCTTAGTTACTGCTGTGTAAATATCTCAAAGTTAATGGACTTGCTTCAGATCTTTAAGAAAGAGCGCTGTCAGTAAAACCTTGGGAACAAGCCAGTGAACTCTCCCCTGGAATTTTGGGTAACTTTGATTCACGTAACTCAAGATGCAAGGAGCTACATTTCTGCAGGGATGGAGAACTGTAAAAACTAACTTACACTAAAGCTGAGTATAAGCCAGCTGAGGCTCTGCTCCAGAAGACTGCGGATAGCAAGAGGTAACCCCTTAAAGCCTCTTTCAGTGGGTGGAGGGGTATTGACCTGCAAAAGGACAGCCTCTTTCTTGCCAGGAGAAGCCCTCTGTCTATTATTTTCTCATGTGGTTTCATAGCCTTGTCTTGGCTTGTTCTGCTGGCTGTCATGGTGACACGCAATGTGAGAAAGACAGATAAATAGGGTGAATACCACACAGGCAGTGAACTTCCTGAGTGACAGCTCTGGGGAAGGGGCACTGCAAGGCCTACTCAGAAAATAAAATAAGAATAACAGCCAATTTAGCTTCATTAATGACTTCCTCCAATCTTGAAGATAGTGCTGGTGACGGACAAAGTATCACAGGAGACTCTGAACTACTGCTGTTACTGTTGCTACAGAGCCTGACAAAAGGATCATCTGTAGGTTTTGATCTTATATCAGTCATGAGTGAAAAATGGCTTTTTTGGAACACTGAATGGATTTTCTTCAGTCTAACAAGCCATTCCTGCGCCTGACATTTGAACAGTTGCTCTGAAGTTTAATCCTTGTTGTATTTAAAAATTAAAAAAAAAAAAGTAAGTAATTCCTAAAAGTATTAGTGTGAGTGTCCCTTTTGAGGCACTAAGTGAAAGGATTGTGGAAATGCTCTGAAACCTGCATGCATTATAAAGGAATGTGGGGAGCATCCCAAAGAGATGGGTTGGGGTGCCTGGGAATCTGGGAGTGCAATGAAGGAAAGAGGGAGACTCTTTACTTCATTTAAATTGTATTTAAGGGTTTTCTTTCTTGGCTGATAGATTGCTGAGCACATCCAGTTTCTTGATTGTGTGTTTAACCCCTTTCTGATCCTTAGATCTAGTGACTGAACTAATATTTCCTTCCTCTCGCCTGTTTTCTCTCTTGTTGCAACTCAGCAAGAATGGTTTTATGTGTTTTTTAAATACTGAAACTTCACCTGGCTTCTGACTACATTTGAGAGAGACCTTGGACAGACTCCATAGAGACCTAACACTGTAAAAGACTTCACAGTATGCTTGTCAAATACTGCTATTCCAGATAATAAAGTGAGGAGGGGAATTAAATTTCCTAGTGGATCCAAAGGAAATCCATGTGCCATTGGTAGTTCTTCTACATGGGTGCAGAAGGGTTGCATTTCCAGGTCACTGGTCCTGACAAAAGCCCTTATGAGGGGCTGCTGACTGCAATGTTTAAGCATGGAGGATTTATGCCCAGTGGTGCTGGCCAAGTGCGAGGGAGACCCAGGGAGTTTGGCTGGTACCCAGAACTGGGCTTGATGCTTATCGCTAGCACTAACAGGAAGATGACTGCTGCTGGGACGACTTCCATGGAGCATTCGCAGCTGGCGGGTCAGCCTAGCAGGAAGGCTGTTTTCTGGGAGATTAGGTACTGACTGACACTCCATCGCTGCACTGCCGTCACTGGGATAGGCTATGCGATGTTAAGTATTGAAGGCAGAGCAGCCACATTCTTGAAGCTGCCTGGTTTTCAGGTGGAGACAGAGATGTACTCCTTGCATCAAGGAGGATGCCAGCCCTCTTGGTCCTATAGCTTTGCCTCTCTTTTTTACTCTTGTGTCATGATACAACTGACTAAAGATGCTTATCTCATGTGTGCTTTGCGTGTCACACTGGAACAGTCTCCTCTGATCTAGAAAAAAAAACAAAACACGAATGCTTTGTCTAAAAGGTGCTGAAGAGTTGTGCTGGTGGCAAAAACCCCAGGTTGCTCAAACTCTTTGAATTCAGTCACCCCTTGTGTAGCATGTGCATGGCTGAGAGTTAATGGCAACAGAAACCATGGTGGTGCACAGCTTCCCAATTCTGATGATGACTTTGGGCTGCTTTCTCCAAAGCTGTGCACCCAGTGCTGGGGGGTGGGGTGGGGGGTGAAACCATGCCCAGCTCAGAAGGTTGAATTTTGCTTCTCCATTTTCCTCAGTCTTGGTCCCCTAGTATTTCTTTTCCCCCATGACGGAGAGAACACAGAACTGTGGCTGCACCTGAACTCAGAGCTGCACGCATATAGTGCGGGCACATGTAATGAAGGAGAGCTGTTTCCTTTGATTATTCAAGACTGAGCATGTGTAAATCTGTGTAAATCAAGACATGCATGTGTAAATCAGTGACCTTTCTTCTTTTCATAGGCATAACATGGGGCAAGGTGGTGTCCCTCTATGCTGTGGCAGCTGGGCTGGCGGTAGACTGCGTGCGGCATGCCCAGCCAGCCATGGTTCACACCATCGTAGACTGCCTGGGAGAGTTTGTCCGCAAGACCTTGGTGATGTGGCTGAAAAGGAGAGGAGGCTGGGTAAGACATACTATCTGATCAAGCTTGTTTCTACACCTGCAGACCAGAAAATAACCTGGTTAATGAAAACAAGAGTGATCCCACTGCAGCATAATGCAGAAAAATATTGAAGGAGATTCTCTTCCACAGCCCTGTGGCCACCACTGTGCTACTTGCACCTGTGCTAGACTCCATATAGCTCTCTTACTGCATCATGGTTCCATCCTCAGCTACACCAGCTATTCTGTTCCTCAGCTTCCTGCGTAGGTGTGGCCGGACTAATTCCATCCTGACCCACCAGTGCCTCTTCTGTTCCTGACCTGAACATCACAGGAGCTGCCAGCTAGTCATAGTGGGATGCTGTCAATAGGGGTCATTCTCTTGGGCAGCTGTTTTCTAGGAACTGAATAAATGAGACCTGCCATCCGCCCCACAGTTCTCCAAGTCAAAGCTTGTTATATTAACATGACTTCCCACCATAAGGAATTTTAGAGGGTTATTAAACCTGGTAGCTTGTGCCATTCCCTGACCTGACAATGCTCCATGAATAACTTCTTCTGATGTAGCTCAAATTGTAGCACGCTCATGCTTTCACAGGCACTCCTAACGCCTATCGACAGTGGGAGGGCTCATGGCTGGCACTGGCCTGCTCTGAGACTGTGGGTAAGGCACAGTGCTACTCTGAGTGTGGCTCCGTATCTTGTGGCTTTAAACATCTGATTTCTTTGGTTCTCTCTGTACCCAACAGGACATACAATGCTTCTGTGGAGGATGGTTCAGAGTGAGAGCTTTGCTTTGGTGCTGTGGAATAGCCAGACACCTTTCTAGTGAGCTCTGTGGGAGACTGGGATGGCTGGTTGGCTATGTTAGCAGTTGGCAGCTGGGCGATGTATGTATGATGCGCCAGGGTCTCTGTGCCTGTGTGGCAGGGATATAGACACTCCTTGCAGGAATACAGCCGAAAGGACTGTGGTGTACTGCCTGGCAGATGCTGCCGGGAGCTAAATATTGGCACGTGACACCACTGAGCTCATGGGACCTCTTGTTTCCAAGGCAGGCACCCTTTCCAGACTGAGCCACAGTGACAAAGACCCTCCTTTGCAAGAGGTGATACTTACTTCTGAGCTGTCAGGAAATTGTCAGGCTCCCCAGCCTGCAGAGACCCGGAAAAAGGGGGTGTCTTTTTCCAAACTGAGCACTGACTTCCCAAGTGTGCCTGTAGCTGATGTAGTCACCTAGTTTGTCCAGGAGTGAAGGCACCTACTGGATGAAGGGCAACTGGAAAAGTAGCGTTGCTCTGGTTTTGGATCCCTTACAGTTAGTGAGTGTCATTGCCACCTTAAATCATTTGTGCTGTTTCTAAAACTGTGTGACCTTGAGGCCAGCCGGGTCAGGGAACTGTTTGGCTGGACTGAAAAGTAACCTTTGATTTGAATTGCCTGATCTGTTTCATTCTGTGTCTGCACAAATAATTGTGCAGAGGTAGTTGAAGAGTATATCCTGGGAAAGCAACTGATTTAAGTAGCACTGTTCCTGCTTGTGAAATCTGTGCCTCGGTATCATTTGAGGCTTGCTTTAACTGGGTACCTGTAGAGCTGGTTGAAATGTATTCTCTGAAATAATTTTTCCTTTGGAAAGAATCCAGTTCCATTAAAATTGAAATGTTGTATAGGCATGTGTCTCCTAGTCTTCAGCTAATTTTTTACTTTGGTAAAACATGCTTTTCTGATAAGTTAGTATGTTTTTTTGTAGTATATTATTAGAGTTCAAAACAGGCTGTTCTGATAATTCCAAATGGATATTTTTTGAAAGTTTATTGCATAGCAAACAAGCCACAAAACCCATCCCCTGACCAGAAGCAGCTCTTTGCAGCTGAAGAGATAAGCCCTGTCCACTGCTAGCTCCTTAAGCCCATCATCCCTCTTTGGATGGCCAGCACGTTTCTATTGGAGTTGCTGAACCTATGCTGCTTGCTCTGGGGGTCCGGCCCTAAGACAGGGAAGCCACTCTCACCGTTCCAGATCATACAAAACGACTGTAAAAGCTGCTGGGTTGTGCTGATCACAACGTGTCTCCAGTACCCTTATCAGCAATTTTGGGCAGCAACAAGGAGATATTTTCCCTCTAGAAATGAGTGGTTCCTTCAGTCTGGGGAAAGGCTGCTAATCCTCTTACCATCTTGTGCTGTGCTTCCCTGAATGTTCTTCCCCTTTATCTAGGCACTGCAGCATGAAATTTCGCAGCCTTGTTCACAAACGGTCCAGATGATGCAGCTCTGTAGTGGGGACCCTTTCATCTGCTGCCTGACCTAGCTGGTTGTTAGTTTGTCTTGGCGTGGAGTCTTGGTTTCCCCTGTGCACATGGCCCCTGTCTCCTATGCATTCGCTCAGGTGCAGGCTGCCAAAAGGAACCACTGCGCTCTGAGCTGTTTCAGAAAAGCCACCGTGGAGACCGTGGAAAGGCATTTGAAAATCTCCACTCAGCGGTAGTTTCAGGTACTGCTTCCACAGGGTGGAGAAAGACCCTACCCCCCAAAGCCCAACCCGAAACAAGCCTCTTAAGAGAAACAAGAACTGTTTAAACCTTTGAGGCATCATCTCTCCCTGGGGAGAGTTTGCAGCCTCTGTAGTGGCTTTACAGTAGAACAGAAAGATTTTTTTTTTTTTAATCTTACCAGCTATTCTTGCTACAAAGAAGAGCATACAACTTGAACTTGTTTGAATAATTAACAAGCAAAGATCAAACTGCCATTGCAACAGTTTATCACATGAGTCCAAGACCTATTTTATTAAGTAGCTTTGAAATTTTCGATTCCAGTGCTGTATCAGATATGATTTATTTGGATAACAATAGCTAAGGCAGTTGTTAAACAGTTGAGCAGTTTTGTTTATCTAAGCAAGCACCATACAAATTTGCAAGTGCTTCTGACTGCAGGTCTGCTTGATTAGCTGCAGTGAGGTCATTGCCTTTGGTAGGGCATAGCACAGCTTTAATGAGTTCACATTTTCTCATGTGGAAGTTAACCCTCTGCAGCTGTAATCAGCCCAGTGTGCATATTTGGGCCTTGTATTTGTTTGTATGAGGCACTAAAGCCCTTCAGAGCTTAGGTTTTATTGGTCAGCTACCCTGATGTCTGAATACATGTTCAGACAGGTACCTGCATGTCATGACTTCTCTTGACTGAAGAGACAGCTTGACAAAACTGTGTTTTAGATTTGACACTGCTGGTCCCTAAAATTGGACAGGCTGAATTGGTTCAGGCTTTCTTCAGATGCCAATAGGGTGAGTTTGCTAAGTCATCACTGAAAGCAGTTAGGCAGGCCCATTTTACTTTCCTCCACAATACAGATAAAGTACCTATAACCACTGGTACGATGTTGCAGCATCTTCTGTTATGTGCTATCTTGGCTGCTTGCTATGATTGCTTGTGCTTTTGTAGCTATAAGCATCAGGATTTCCACACCTTGCTTGTTCATCCTCAGGAGCACCCCACATGCCGATTCAGCTTCCTCCTGTCATCTTGTTTCTTCCCGTCCTTGCATGCCTGTATTCATTCCTCCTGCAGCCTCTACTTGTCAGTTATTCATGGGCTTGGCGTCTCCTAATGGTCCCTGGAGAACAGCGTGCCAGCCTTTCGGACTTCTCTGTGAGGGAGGAACTGCATGGGAGGCTTTTGAGGTTGCAGTTGACAGAACTTTGGTCCATAGATGACAGTGAAGTCAGTTAGCGTGGCTATACTCACTAACCAGACATGGCAATTTGTCCCTTCAGTCCCCCTTTTGTTTTCTTCTAATGATTACCAGGGTTGGTCAGGTGAGGCTCACCCATGACTTGAACACAGGTAGGAATACTGGAAAAGATTACTGGGGTATTCAGCAGCTCTCGTGTCCCATTTTGTGGGAGGAACATCTCAGGATTCAGACACTGACTTTCCCGCTGCTTGGTCAGCGAGCACCTTGTGTCAGAAGGCAAACTTGGAAAACTGCTGAGCTAAGCTTGTAATGAAAAAGCTTTTAGGGCTAATGAATGTTTACCCTCCTTGTGACCTGATTCTTGTTCATATTTGCCACCCAAAAGCCGTTTCTGAAAACCGCATCAAGTTGATGTGCTAACAGTGCTCCCTCTGTTACAGAACTATGGTCCGTATCTCCTTGTGCTGGGCTGAACTTTAACCACAAACTCAATTATATTGCTGGCAGAACTTTAATTTGTTTCCCCCACCAGAAGATGCAACTTTCTATCCACCTCTGTCCCGTTCGCTTTACCCTCCAGATATTTTCCACCTTTTCCTCCCCATGCCAGCTGAGATCCTGTCCTCATGAATTTGCTGGATTGTTGTTGTTTTTTATTCATTGCAGGCCTGCTTCTGTTCTTGTTAATACTTGAAGCCAGCTGCCCAAGTGATCTTTAAATCTGGCCCACGCGTCTGGGAGGCATCTCTGCCAGCATGCATATTTCCACAAATAAAGCTTGCATTGCTTTAGATTTAAATGAGGGGTTGGCTTGCTTGAATGGGTTCCAAATCAAACATTGAGACAAGAGAAAAAGTGCACGCAACTTGAGCTGATATTAAACAGGACAACCTCTGGGAAGCATCTTGCTTTACAGAAAAGGATGAGACTGCTGATGTTGCCAAGGCTTCCTAGCTCTTTTGAAAAAGGGGAAGAAAGTTTCTTTTATTTAGGTATTCAAAATGGAAAATGCTCAACAATCTTCCTGTAGCATTTCTTTCCCCAGGGTTGGCTGAAAAGGGGGATACTTCATCTTGTTGATGAAGAAAGTGTGTTTCACAGAGATCTTGAGCCTGTTTTAATAACTTGCAGTGTGTGGAAGTATCAGAGCAAGCATCTGTGGCTGTTAACAATGTGGCAAAGTGGTGCTGCAGCAGCGGTGGCACGGTGCTGCGGGTTGCGGGGCTGGGAGAGTCCGCAGCTGTGGCTGCCATGGTTCTGGGCATCTCTCTCTGATGATCTCTGTTCCCTCCTCATTAGGCAGACATCACAAAATGCGTGGTGAATACTGACCCCAGCCTTCGCTCCCACTGGCTCGTGGCCGCTGTTTGCAGCTTTGGTCACTTCCTCAAGGCTATCTTCTTCGTCCTGCTGCCTGAGAGATGAATCTGAGTCGCCAAGTGCAGCCCCCTACCCCAACTCCTCCCCCACTCCAGAAGCAGTGGTAATGGCAATCTCTGAAGAGGAGGAAGAGAAGAACTGGGACAGACAAAAGGCTTGTTCTCCTCTCCCTTCAGCTGGGAGCAGATGATCGCCACGATCTCCTTTTTGCAGCCACAGGAGCCTCTCTCACCATTAATCCTTTCAAGAGTTTGTTTCCCTGGATGACTTGTGTGTGTGGCCTGGACGTTGCCAGTCGCTGGGCACGCTGACTGCAGCTGTGTGCAATGTGGACTGTCAGACATCTTCTCCTTATGGCTGTGTTGCGTGCTTATCCTAGTGCTAGGCAGAGGGGAGGAGGGTGGGGGTATTATTTGAAGTGGGATAGAACATGGAGGAGAGGAGGAGAGTCCCTCCTTCGCACTATGTGAGTCCCCTTTCAGTCTTCTGACTTGCCTTGCATTGATTCTTGTTGTTACATTTGTGCTTAAACTCCATCTCCTCCTTTATACCTAACTTTAGCCTGCTGGGCTCTGCCCCCAGCACAGCATGGTGGAGGGGATAATGGAGCTGTGAGCTTTTATCGTGATAAAAACAAACGTGCTGTCATCAGATGCTTCTCCCTGCTGTATCTTGGACATCAGACGGAGTTTCTGTGGCGAGGGGCAGGACTTGAGGGCAGTTGCATGTGATGCAGTTTGCAAGTGTATTTTGTTGAGTCCTCTTGCTGTGTTCACACACCATTTCAAACAGGACAGTGAGGGGCAACGCCTTCAAGCAACAACTCAGGACTGAATTTCTTAATGAAGAAAAATGTTTTCTCCACTGAGATTTCGTCAGAGTTAAGCATGTAAGTAGGAAAGGCTGGGGGGCATGGGTGGGAATTAGGGAAACATTAAGTGAACTGTCTGGTGTCGTGAAGGGGGAAAGCTGTGTCAAAAGTAGCTGATTTATGTTTCTCCTTTAATGTCTCCAGAAGTACAACTCACAGTCGTCTTTGTGGCAAACAATAAAATAGGTGGTGTTTCACTATTGCAAAGGGTATTGTGTTTGTTTCCAGAGTTAAAAATTCCAAAAAAGGCCAGAACAGTGCAGAGACAAACACTCAGGCCATGCTAAAAATACTTCAGCTTTTCCCCTGGTAGAACATGTTAACGTGTTAAAACTACAACTCGCCTGGTTGATGCTAGGAATTTAACCCATGTTGTTACCATGTCACAAGCATGCTGTTTTCGCTGACAGAAGTGGGGCCTTGCTGCTGTGGGCAGGGGAAGGCCGTGGAGACTCTTCTCTGCCAAAGCCTTGTGGGAGACATCCTCCTTGGTGCCTTGCTCCCAAGAGCGTGGTATCACAGAAAAACACTGCTCTTGATTAAGAACATGTGGCATTATAGCAGTTTTTACTGATTTTTTTTTTTCCCTAATTTCCCTCCCACACACTGTGTTTAGAAGGGCTTTACTGTTTCCATCCAGAAGTTACAAATGGGTTTGAGAATAAAGCAAAGCCTTTACTTTTCGGTTGTATCTGTGCAACAGGTTTCTGTTAGCAGTTCGTAGTGCTGTACTCTGAGCAACAGAACTGCTGGCAGAGGATATGTAGGTGGCTGTGCCCTTGCAAGGTCCTGCTTTTGGCTGGTCTAGCCTTTTGCACTTCTGCTGATGCCTTGACACACACGTACCAGGCTCAACTTTACCCGTAGTGCTACACCCGCAGTGAAGGGTGCTTTAATAGCTCAGTCTGCTTGTACTTTTTCAGTAGTAAAGTAATTCTTGTGGAGCAAAACCTTTAAAAGACAACCTCCCCCTGACTCCAATCCCCCAACAAAAAGACTCACAAGAAGGCCTCCAGCTGTGTATCGAAGCTGCATGCTGCCTTTGACAATGTCTAGGCAGACTGGCTACAATATTAAAAGTTCGGGGGGTATAATGACAAAGTTCCCAGTGTGGATGCAGCTGATGGTGCCCTGAAGTTGGTGCACTTGTGTGTGTGAAGCTTGCAGCAGTTCCCCCAGTAAACCCAAGTTGCCAAAGGTTGGTTTTTTTTTTTTCTTCCCGACATAATTATATCGGCATTAAGGGTTTTACTGGCACCTCTCCTTCTTCCTTAGATTCCTGATAGATCTGGCTGTGGAAATTCAAACCAGGTATAGCGTATGTGGTGGACTAAACTAATCACACTTCCAGCAGCAGAGAGGATCCCCTCTGATCTGCAATAGATGCAATAAAAGCCCTATAGTTCATTGCAGGGGGATGCAGCTTCGTTGTCTTAAAGGAGCTTATGAAAATGGAGACTTCAGATTTCTGCAAATACCCTCGTTGAGTGCAGACTTTGACTTGGACAGTTTCACAGCTCGTAAAGTCCAGCTTGCCTTGTCATGCCTCCTGTTTTATGAAGTGTCTGTGAGTTAATGGAGCTAGCGCAGTTGAACACTGGGACTGTCAATACTTTTCTCAATTTAGATGCTGTTTCAAAATGTAGTACTTAAGGCTATGACTGCTTTTTCAGTAAAAAAGTGATATCAGAGGGACTATTAGGGAACATAAAGTGTTAAATGCACCAATTAAGTGGGTTTAACAAAAAGATAAGCCAAAGAAAACAGCGTTGCTGGAAAGGAATGTGTGTGGGTGGGAAGGGGGTTACACAGGCAGGCAGACAAAGACTGAGCCTGGAAGCTGCTGATAATGAAGAGGTGGTGGAGCTCCCCACAGATCGGTTGCAGACTTCTCTGGCTTTCGTCTTTCTTGTTGCATTTGCTCGTCCCTGCAATGTACATCCCGGAGTTGAACAGTGTGCTGCTTGTCTTGCACTTTGTGTTAAACCAGCATGATACTTTTGCCCTTCTTGATCCTTCTGCAATAACCACATTGGCACAAGTCTTGCTGCCAAAATAAACAGCAAATAGAATTGTGCACTCTGCTGTGTGTTTGGGAAGCAACAGTCTCGAGCCCAATTCAGCCAAGTATTTATGTTACGTTCAGTTTTAGTTGTAATATTTAGGTATTTCAGAGTACGTCCAGAGGTCCTTTACAATCTCAACAGTTCTGTAGCTCTGTGATTTTTCTTTTCCCTCTTCCCTTTTGGCCAGTCCTACCTGGTGGGAGACATCAGGGTTCGTTGTTTGTCACCCCATTAAACATTTTCCTTTTATATGATTGGTGAAAGTCCTAGGAGTGTGTCTAATTTATTTAGCTGTTAAAGAAATCCAAGAATGTATGTACCAAGGTTAGTACTATTATGCTTCTTCATGTTGAAAGCCTGGCTGCTGTTCCTCTTCCAGCATCAAAAACATCTCACTTTTTTTTTTCCCCTAGTGTTTCCAATTACGTGCTTGAGAAAATTACTTGTAGTGAAAGTTGCCTTCATCTTTTTAAGCGGTTTTGTTCACATTGAATGTTCTAAATGAGACTTACAGACACATAAACTGTCTTGGGGAGTTGCTCCCTGTGCCCAGTCACCTTTCGGTCCACTGCTCACTTTCATCCCATTTTGCTGAAGGGCAGCAGTCGCAACAGGGGCAGGGGACAGACCCCCTGTTAGGCAGAAGTCACTTGGCACAGGTGCAATCCAGCCAAACTCTGCTTTGCTGTCACACCAGAAGAGGCTGGGGGCACAGGGGGAAGCTGTGGCTGTTGCAGTGGAGGCCAGGTATGGGAGATGCCTAGGGAGTAGCAGGAGGAGGGAGAAAGGGTTGGAGATGGGGAAACGGCATCTTGAATATTTTATTGGATGTGGAGTATTTTGCAGATGAGTGGCCTTTGAGCTATTACAACAGGGAATGCCAAGGTTGGAGAGCTGAGCGTTGGAGGAACCTGAGTTTCAGCACTCCTTTGTTCGCTGAACGTGCTCCAGTACGGATTATCGCCCTCACCCCACCCCCGGCATGGTATTCATTCTCTGTTTCTGTGTAATAGACCTACATTCAGTCCACGGAAATACTTGCTGTATCAAAAAGGTAGGGAGCAGAAAAGCTATCTCGGCTTGGGTATTTCAGTGACGGGTATTTGAGCAATGCTTATTGTGTCCTAGACCTGACATTGCTTCAACCACAGTCTTACTTATACTTCTCTCTTGTCAAACATTAGCAGTCTGTTCACCTTCTTCAAGGCAACTAAAGAAACTGAAGTGGTCTCAGACTTGCAGCAGATGTCACTTGTGTCCCTGCACTGCCTTTCCTCCTGTAAATGCAAAGAAAACAATCTGTGAAGCCCTTGGTTTATCAGACCTGCATCTGTATTCTACACTGAAGTACGGAACAATAGCAGCAGGGAGCAACGCTGAGGTTTCCTGGAAAATTGCAGTACCAGACTTCCTCGTTTTCAAACTTGTTGTTTAGACCCTGAGAAAAAACTCTGCATATCTCTTTTTTTTTTATTCTCCTTTTAATGTGCAAAGTTGGGGGTTTTGTGCACCGTTAAACTGAATACGAAGCACGTTTCAAGTCCCTCAGATGGCTTTCTGAAAAGATCAGGCCCCTAAGGCATTCTAGCGGCTTTGCCAAGAGCCTTCTTCATGTGGCTGTCATCAACATGTGGCTCCTTGAATTGCTTTACTGTTGTTAGTTTTTTAAATCTAGTATTTATTGTTTTTATAGGCATAAATTTGCCACAAATTAATTATTCTCTTAGGGCAACATGAAAACAATGCATGCTACTAAATTAAAGACAAGAAAACAGCAATATAATGTACCACTGGCAGAGTCTATAAATTTCTTCCGTGCAAGTGGTTTGACAGATGGGGTTTAAATACTCCCTCAGAACAGCCTGTAACCTCTTTAACTCTAAACATTTTGACCCACTGGGATTACAAGCCCCTAGCACAGCTAAGCAGAGCGATCCTTGCTTGAACTTTACACTGTCACCCAGGACCTGGAAGTGCATTGCACGTTCGAGCAGAGTCTGTGGGAAATAGACTGCCCCTGGGTCAATCACACGACATGCAGTCCATGTCCAGGCAAGGTCAGATGAAAAAAAAGCTCCCCCTCTCACAGGAGAAAAAAAAAAAAAAGT